GTCGCGGAATGCTCGCGCGGGCAAGGTGGGAAGAGGGAAAGATCCAAATTCAATCCAAAAAGTATTGTCGTGCCTCCCACCGGGCTACAGCCCGATTAACTCGTTAAATGGCAACAATACCGAGTAAGGTGGGAAGTGCGTATCGATAATAACGAAACCGGCTTCTACGAGCCCAGAACAGCGGTTGGCTGGAGGGAATAATACTGCCCGCCGATTTGTGCAACGGCTTCTCGTACGTCCCAGTCATATACACGTGTCCTTTCCTCACTGTAGGGAAAAGGTCACGTCGGGATGGGAGATACGGGAGGCTGGCGCCCAATCGGAGGGTACTTATCAGTCCACATGTCAATCAATCACAAAATATACCAAGACATCATTAAAAATGATTCGCGCGTTCCCCAATCAATCTTTTTGACACAAGACATAGAGAGAAAGCAAACACAAATTAGCCTGATCATGTAGATGACTAAGGGACCGATCAGTTCAACACAACGTTAGTCCTCGGCGCCTTGTTTTTCGAGGCCGCCTCGTGGCTCGGCTGCTGATGTCGTGTAGCATAAGGCAGATGGCATGTGCAGTACAGACAGAACTACAGATCTAAACACTCTTGCATTCTCGAACAAAATCTCGACGACACTCGTCTAATCAAATCGAAAAAGTCACGCATCTCTATACATGCATTCACTGTGGAAGGTGCGAAAATGAGACATGCACAGGAAAAGATGGATCGCATTGCACAATACACACGCATCCATTGTTCACAAGACAAGTAGAAGGGGTCCTTGTGTAGGAAGATCACCCAGCAAACTAATGGAAGAGTTCCGGAAGAATTTTTTCACACAGAAGCAGGATGCCAACTCATTCCTACTCAAGAGAGGGACAATCATTCAGACGCATAAGCATTCAAAAAGAGAGAGAGAGAGAGAGAGAGAGAGAGAGAGAAAGAGAGAGAGAGAGAGAGAGAGAGAAAGTCTAAAATAGAAGATGACAAGATCTAGAAAGAGAAAAGTTCGGCGTCACCGCCGTACACTCACGCCAAAGATAACAATCCACAACAAAGGCGCATTCACCGTTAATTYCACTATGGCYCCGGGCCAATCAYTCTCTCAACGCCAGTCATCGAACCTCATACCCGTACCGACGATCCCAGCCRTCACGTGCTAACTCTTACCACTGCGATCGTCACCCYGCTTGTAGTAARCTCGACACGGTTCGCCCGGATCCCACAGTCCGTCGTGGCGATCAAGCGCRCAACCGGCCAGCCTATCGTCAGCCCGACAGGACTTTCCGACTCGCATCAATCTACCCTACCTAGCCACTGCTTACCGGAAGCTGGCTTAGGAGTCGAGAACATAAGAGAGATTTGCGGACGCGCTTGCGGGTTTTATAGTTGCGACAGGGGAGATAGAAGGGGGAGAAGGCKACACGAAAGTTGAGTTGTAAGAGGAGAAGCAGGAGGAGAAGACTTTGAGAAGAGTGCTCTAYGAACGCCATGCTGATCCCTCGGARCTCAAGGTTSAACCAATCAGATTCGTCGCGCGATAGGAAGGTCCTATCGATCGGCGCACCTGATTGGCGAGCGGGAGTTATTGGGGGATCGACCGGGCGTCGTACGCGAGACTTAGAGGGTGAGAAGAGAAAAGGCGCGAGAGGTGGTGCAAGACGGGTCCAAGATTCWRATGATCAAGAAAGGGAAAGGGCCGCGYGAAAGCAAGGCGGGAGAGAGAGAGAGGGAGAAGGAAAAWCAGTTACGGGGAGAGAGAAAAATTAGGGAGAAGGGAAGGGAGGCGCGGGAGGGAGCGATGCGGGGGCAAAGAGGAGGAAGCTTTTGCATGCACAGCGCTGTCAACAAAAAAAAAGAAAAAGGCACCAAAACAGTTACAACTTGCTTCTATCCTAATTCAAAATTGAAATCACCATATCAGCGCGCGAAAAAGCAACGCGGGAAAAGTAAATCCTATGCCTATTCGTATTCACGCAAAATTCCGAGAGTTTTCCCCGACGCGCCCAAGAACATTCACACACCCAAAAAGGACACGTCGAAGTTCCGCTTATCCCGGAATTCCCAACTGCCGAGCCCAATTACTAGTGCGCTCGCTAAGGCGCATGTAAATTCCCATGTATTTCCCGACTTTGCAAAAAGAAAAACGGAACTCATGAGTCGAAAAAACTCTCAAAAGGAAAATGCGGCACCCGAAAACAAGAAATCAAAACGGGGTTTTCCTGGGGTTGGTATGATACAAGCGAAAGAAAGGGTACGAAGGATGGCATGGGGTCGTGAAGTGGATCGTTACATATGTGACGCGTAGGGGGTTCCAAAATTATGCGATCTCCTGATTGCATGTCATGGCGAAAAAGAAGAGGGGAGAACAGAGTGATGCATGAGGAACCAAACGTATCAACAGAGCATAAAGAAGTACAAGGAACGATAACTGGGCCGCAGATGAGATGGCGACAACATCCGTGGCAAGATCTCTGTAGCCCTGTCATATGCAACCCTCTGCCTCGTGGAGATCGTCCAGGTGACGCCATCATCGTCCACCTGATCTCCGTGTGCTCTGCACCCTTGCTCGTTGCCGTATGTCGAATCAGCACGTAGTGACGTCATCGTTGATGGCGTGATCTTCGCGAACCTTACTGATTCGTGCCAATGAAGGGAGAAAAAAAGGGGAGGGGTTCAAGTGAATGGGATCTACCGCCTAGCTGGAATAGGCCAGTAGAGACGGTACATGCCGGGGATCTCGCGGGGATGACGGGGAGGAGTGGGGGTAGGAACGGATTCATCCCTTCCATCGTCACTGGGAGCTCCTCATATCGGATGATCCGGTGGAAGCGGGGGAAATGATCGCCACTGCGGGGGAGGGAGGCGATTTAGTCGTGATAGAAGAAGGAGAGGGTGCGGAAGAGCGCCGCTCGGAAGATCTCAAAGTGGCGGCAAGCGGGGATCGTTCCCGTGGCGACGCAGTAAACTTCTATCACGTTGCTTCGCTCCCATGCAGCGCTGAACAGCAGGAGATGCCATCAGAATGTGGGGGCAGCGGATTAGAGGGAGGCGTGGGGGTGGACGGTGGCGAGTAGGCGGGTAGAGTAGAAGTCGCGGAAGAGATGGGGATGGAAAGGATGGGAAGGGAAGGTGACAGGGGTACGGATCTGCTCGAGGGTGAGAAAATCAAGGGCTCAACGGGGCAGCGTCCGAGGTCGAAGGCCTATCACGCGCATTGGTACGTGGGCGAACTGGGGGACGGGTGGGGCTGGAGGAGGAGGTGGATCGGCGCCGTTTACGTAGCGCGTTACTTGAGGTGGCGGCTGCAGGGTCGCCATCTTCGGGCCTCGGCGGCTCTTGATCCCTGGTCGGATCGCTACCGATGCGCAGGCTAGCCTTGCTAGCGAACTCCAGCTGGCGCTTTGCGGAGGCAATCTCTTCGCGCTTTCGCGCCGCTTCCGGATTTTCCCCCGCCGTTCCCGTACGCGTCGCTTACTCCGGCGGGGCTTCCCACTCGGACCTGGTTCCTTCTTCTGCCTCTTCCTCCTCGCTCAGCTCGCCCTCGCTATGTTCACTATAGCTTCCCTCCTCCGATGTCTTCTCGTCGTCGTCGTTTTCTTTGTTTTCCGAGGAAGAAGAGGGAGAAAAATCGGAAGGATAAAGGAGACGGAGGTAGGAGGTATGTCTGACGATGAGGACGGAGCTATGGCTGGTGCTAGCCTCAGGCGCGATGCGCACCGTGTTAGCGCCGTTGGGCCCGAGTTCGACAATGCAAAAAAAGCCAGAGAACTTGGGAGCGAGTTTCCGGTCGCGTGCATATTTACGCACCTGCACTAGGTCCCCCAATTTATACTGGTACTGGGGCCTCGCATTTCCGTTCCGGTCCTCGTAGCTATGGACTTGTCTACCGTGTGCCAGCTCGGTCATCCTTTGTCTTTTTCAGGCTAGCTTTGGAACGGCCTGTTCCATCAAATCGGAGTACCTTTTGGCCTTGGCCTTGAGGACCGCACGCGTGTCTCTACCCCCTGCTTCGGCAATTTCCGGGTTGCCCCGGTAATCGACACAGGGGAGGCTATTAGTTCGAAGCTGAAAGGGGGTGAACCCCATAGACTCGTGAGGGGTGGCCCAGTGGATGCCGACGATCTTTTATACGATCTCGAGCCACGGACGTGTGTCGTGTGCCGCTAAGTTCCTGCGAAGGGCGGTTTTAATCATACGGTTGGCATTCTCAGCCAACCCGTTTGACTGGCACACGTGGGGTGCCGTATGTCAGAGCATAACGCCCCTTCGCGCAAGTAGTTCCTCTACCTCACCTTTGAATTCCAACCCATTGTCAGTTAGAATTTCTTTTGTATCTAGATGGGTATAGAGGAATCGTTCGATGTATGTGGCTATTTCGGCGCCCTTTCGGGTCTTACAAGGATAGACTTCGATGTATTTGGAAAAATGGTCAATTAAAACTAACAGGATGGAATATTCACAGCGGTTTGGGCCAGGTGGTACGTTAATATCGATCATGTCCATACTGACTCGCTGAAAAGGACGCTCTACTTTCGTTGGCACGATCGTGTTTGGTCCCCGTATTGGGGCGGGATCAGCGGCACAGACCAGACAGTTAGCGACAATGTATTTGACATCATCTCGTACATCGGACCAGAACCATCGGTTCTGGTTTACAGTTGCCTCCGTAACACGTATCGCAAAATGAGCCGCATGTTCCTCGTGAGCAGATCGGATCCAATCGTATCCCCGGAAGGGATGGGGAACCGTCAGCCACGAACCCGATTTGTTCAGTTTTGCGCTTTTCCAAATGACCATTGATTCATCGAGAGTCCCGAGATCTCTCGGTTGCCCTACGTGTGTCGTGTTTGGTGAGGTGGCCCAACGATAATCCCGCTAATTTTGCTAATAAAATTTTATCCGTCCAAACCTCCGCTCGTCGGTATTTTTCGTTGTATTCAGGACCGTCCGTACGTGCGGCCTCGAATCGAACCTCCGTGGGGAGCTTGTTCGTTCTACACAGAGGGCACCTTCATTCCTTGCTATTCGTTCAATATCGAACGCAGGCTCCGTGCGCACGATTGACACGCGTGGCACATTCTACCCAATCGACAAACCCGGTTTCGAAGGAATGACAATCGACCCCGTAAACCCGTGCGATGCACGTGCAAAAATAACAGAATTTGTCGGGGGGGTGGCAAAGAAAGCGGAGGACATTAGAGGGGCAGAATTAGTAGGGGATGAAGGGGTTGCAGAGGCAAGTGGGGCAGTCATGATGACAGAGGAGGAGGGGATGCAGGGAGGGTAGAACAAAACAATTAGTTGCGCTTGCAGGCGAATACTGATTTAGACGCATATTCCACCACATTCTCGAATCCGCTTGGTCCCACCTGGGCAAGGATCGCCGAAATCGCCTCTGGCTGCCAGTCGGTGATGAGAACAAAAGGTTTTTCGGGATACGGTCTAATAAGGACCGGAGCCGAAATGAGAGCAGCCTTGAGTTTGGAAAACGATTGATCGCACTCCGGCGTCCAGATCAACGGCTGATCCTTGCGCAGGAGATTCGTGAGGGGTCCCGCAATCGCCGCGAAGCCCTTGATAAATCCTCGGTAATACAAGGCTAGGCCCAGAAAGGAGCGAGCTTGCGTGATAGTGGTAGGCACTAGCGCGTCCCTGACAGCTGCCACCTTCTGCGGCTCCAGTTGGAGTCCCTTGTTTGTCACCACGTGCCCCAGGAAAGAAATGGTGGTGAGGAAAAACTGACACTTCTCAAGCGCCACCTTGAAGCCGGCATCTCGTAACGCATGCAGTGCCCATTCGATGTGCTGCACGTGTCCCTCGCAGGAGCTCAAATACACCAGGATGTCATCCATGTACACGATCACGCAGTAGTTGATAATGCTCTGCGCCAAGCGAGTCTTCCATACGAAATTCTGAAAAGCCATGTTCATAGCCCGCTGAAAAGTCGCAGGGGCGTTGCAAATACCCATCAGGCATCGAATCCATTGCCACGTACCTTCGAAAAGCACAAACGTTGTTTTCGGTCGATCTTCCTCCCGGACAAGAAGATGATGGAACCCATGACGAACATCAAACTTGCTGAAAAATCGAGCACCCCCAATCACATCCAATAACTCATCAATCCGGGGGAGGGGATACACATCTTTAATCGTGATATCATTCAGCTTTCAATAATCAATGCAAATGCGAATCCCTCCGCCCTTTTTCGGTACGATCACTACGGGAAAAGGCCATGGACCTATAGCAGGTTCGATCCATCCATTAGCTTCGAACTCCTCAATCCTGTGTGTCCATTCAACTATCAACGGGATTTTTTTAACTCCGTTGTACCCGTTGAACGGGCACAAGACCCGAGTTGAATCCCCGTTGAATGATACAACGGGCGGTTTCCGTTGAACTCGGTTCAATGGACCGAGCGCAACGGCCACCGGGCATGCAGCGCCGGCGACGTGAACTAAAAAACAGGGGTTTGTCTCCGACCTCGTCCATTGTATCCCCGTTGAACCCGTTGAACGGGAGTTGAATCCCCGTTGAATGATACAACGGGCGGTTTCCGTTGAACTCGGTTCAATGGACCGAGCGCAACGGCCACCGGGCATGCAGCGCCGGCGACGTGAACTAAAAAACAGGGGTTTGTCTCCGACCTCGTCCATTGTATCCCCGTTGAACCCGTTGAACGGGAGTTGAATCCCCGTTGAATGGATTCAACTCCGTTGAATCCCTGTCAAACGGCTTCGTCGTTTGACGAGTAAGCGAACGACGGGAGCTGCGCCCGCGGCTGCGGCTGCAATCGCTGTGTGCTGGAGGTCCCCCTTGTTGTGATTTCCATGTCTATGTGTGTGTGTGCGTGCCTGCTGCTTTGCATGGCTGTCTGTGTGCTTGTCGATTGAGTGTGTGTGACCCGCAAGGGTACTTGTTGTTTGCAAGGCCCTGCAGGGCCAGTACTTACCTGTGGCCGTGACTGTCAAGGTTGAAGGGGGGGTAGACAGTCAAGTAGCGGGGGTAGGCCCGCGACACTTAGAGCAGGGAGGAAACACTAGAGTAGCACGTAGGACGGTACCACTCGAGTAGTGGTATGAGTGTCGTACTGAAGGCCGAGCAGAAGAAGACAAAAAATTGGCATTTTTTTAGGCCCAGTAGCGGTAGCCTGTAGGTTAGAGGTAGGCCGGTACCAGTCCAAGTAGCCCGGGTCTAGGGCCTGTCCGGAGGATAGCAGAGCCTACAATGATGTTTCCCTTCGAAAGGGAGGAGGTACCGGTTGCCGGGAGGCCGCTCGGCCTAGGAGGTCACCGCCCAGGAGGCCAGTAGGCCGCTATATCTCCAGGAAGAGCAAAGAGCTCTTCCTCATTTGCGGTGTGCAAGGATTGGCGACATGCTGCTGGAGCACAACGCTGGAGGTACAGCGCTGCTTGGAGGGAGAAAGGACCGCTGGAGCTCAGCCTGGCTATGGCGAGCTGTCCAGCTTGAGGAGGAGGAAGAAGGGGCATGGTAGGAGAGTGTTGAGGCACTTACCTGGCTATGGTGGACACCGTCTTCATCACCTTGTTGGGCGCTGCACCCGGAAGGCCCCAGTTGGGGTAGCGCTGCAGCAAGGAAGCTCAAGGCAGAGCCAGGCATGGCGGACCAGTCATCAGTGGCATAGCTGCTCTTGGGTTGTCCTTTGAACATCGGCAGCACCATAGCTGCTTTGGGTTGTGTTTTGAACAGGAGGGCAGGGCCCTCATCAGTCCGCCATAGCCTGTGCATGAGAGGGAAGGCTGAAATAGGGAAGCCATAGCTATGGTGGGCTTGTTGTTGTTGTTGTTGTTGTTGTTGTTGTTGTTGTGGAGTTGAGTCAGCAGTAAGAGGGAATTTTAGATATTGATTCTGAACCTTTCTGGTTCATCCATTCATTGTTATTATTATTATTGAGAGAAAAATAAGATTGGTGAAGTGAAGGAGGAGGAGGAGGTTGGAGAGAGAAGGGGGGAATTGTCATTGGTCTTGCTGGTGTACTTCTTCTTCTTCTTCTTCTTCTTCTTCTTCTTCTTCTTCTTCTTCTTCTTCCCCTCTCTTCTCTGGTCTTTATCTCTTTGCAAGTGCTTTCATTTCTTTCGCAATTGGGTGGCATTGTCTTTCATTGTGAATTGCACTTGGGAAACGACCAGGATCGTAACAATTGAATGATTGTTGGGGGAGGGCTGCCCAGACACACCAACACAAACTCCCACACACACACACGCACGCACGCACGCACGCACGCACACACGCACGCACGCATGCACGCACACACACACACACACACACACACACACACACACACACACAAGAATAACTGCATAGAAGAACATGAAACTACAATGAAAACAAAGTAGTCATGAAATGTCATACAGAAGTCATGTCGAAGTGTCGGCGAAGTCGCATATAGGAGTCCAATATGAAATACATCTCACATGGTACAATGTGTCGTCGACACTCGTGCCGAGTCGCACAGGGCCGTACACCGATGGGATGCAGCCTACACCACTAACTAACAAAGCTGAAAATAAAACCCTAACAAACATCTACGTAAGACGACAAGTTAGAATGAATTTCAAACTCTAACAAAAACCCAATAACTAAAAAACAGTATGAAAATGTCGTATATAAATTGAAAAACGAAACAAACAAACACTGTCGATGACACTACCCAGTCTACCTGCATGCTGAAGTCCATGAACTGGTCCGAAGTCCCTAAAACCTAACTATATGTACATCATCCTAAACAATATACAAAAACGTCAGAACACTAAGCACAAACAACATAMAGGCGTCGTCGAAGCACTGGAAGGGGAACGAAGTTGTCAATACCGTCGACTTCCCTTCCCCTTACCACTGCCTCTCTGCCTCGCCCCACTCGTGTTGCGTGTCGACGAAACACTCCCTTGCCCCGGCGCTATCGCAACGGATGACCCTCGCCTCCTCTGACTCCTCGTCTCCCGCCGCCCTGGAGGGGACGGGTCGTCTACGTCATCATGTCCTCTACGAGAGCCACGCTGTCTACGAGAACCATGTCGCGGTGGGGGGAGGGCTCGTCGTCGTCGTCGTGGTAGCTGTCATCATCCCCGTTGTCGCTCTCCTCCTCCTCACGCTCCTCGTCGTCCCTGTACTCGTCACCCTCCTGTGGGGCCTCCTCACGTGCAGGCTCCGTCTCGGGATCGTCCTCCACCACAGTCACATGGGCAGCCCCCGTCCTCACCCGAACAAGCCTAGCACTCACCTGAGTCACCTCTGCGACTGTTTTCTCACCACGAGAACCGCGCGGCATCTCCAACCCCTCGGCTCCAGAACACTCCTCCAACGCGGCATCCCCCGTGGCAGGCATCATCTGAGGCATGGAACTCGTACGAGCGACTCCGCTCCTGCGCGATGTCTGCTCACGCACAGCACGTGCTGCTGCTGCCTAAGCGGCCTGCAAGGTACACCCGGCCTGTCCAACCCCGCGAACATCTCACGGCTGAGATACTGCCGCCATGACCTCCCTCGGCGCACCCCTCTCGGTGTGAGCCCCACCCAAACCTGGCTGTTGTCGTGCAGTGTGCATTGTGACCCGACGTACGGACTCCAGGTCGATATTCGTCCTCCCGAATAGCGACGTGTCAAGAGGGAGGCTCCCTACGGCCATCGTGTCACGAACCCTGGGTCTGGTCGGCGTGGATGGTGAACGGGGGGGCCGACCGACTGGTGTCGAGGGGGAATCGCTGTGACGTGATCTCGGAGGAGGAGGGGGCATAAGTGGTCTGCTAGGGTCGGTGTTCTCCCGCCGCGTCACGTCACGCACAGCAGCCCGTGCGAGCTCCGCGAAATCCAATGGGCGAGCTGTATCCTGAGGAGCTCGCCGCCCAGTAACCGCAGTACGAAGAACTGCCTCATATCCTAAATCTACGACTATGACCGGTGGTTCCTGAACAAATGCCTCCTCCCCAGAACCTGACCCCTACACACACGGTCGAACTAGCCGCATCGTATTCGTCATCTGCAAGCCCGTGAACGGTACCAATGAACTACTACCTTCGTGGATATCCGCAGGGGGTGCATCCTCACGCTCCTCCTGTGGCTGCTCTACTACCTCCTCGCACCCCTGCTGAAGCGAGTCTGTCTCTCTCCCAGAGCGTCCTGCAAATGCCTGCTCGATCTCCTGTGTGCAGTACCCAGCGGCCGCTAGGGCACGCGCCACATCCTCTCTCACTGCGTGAGCAGGGGTGGGCGAATCCCCCAAAGATATGTCCATGAAATCCCCCATCCCCAGCCCTGACGCCCCCCTCTGTCCTGATGGCGATGCCCCCAGTGCCCTCCTCGTGCCCGGGGTCAAACCCGCTAGTGCGGGACCCATCTCGTCATCGACGAAACGCTGGACGATTGGGTCAAGGTGGGCGCCTCCCTCTCCTGTACCATGGGCAACGTCCCCCCCTACCACACCCTCCTCTCCCCCAACCAACACAGCAGCATCTGCCCTCACCACATCCTCCTCCATCTCAACCTGGGCAGCACCATCATCTACCCCAGCCACGCTCTCGTCTACCCCTGCCACAACCTCCTTTCCCTCATCGTCCCTCATCGTCGCCTCCTGCATCCTCACCACATCGTCCTCTCTCTCAACCTCCGATGGCAGCACGCCCTCCTCTCTCTCGACGTGCGCACCATCATCTACCTCCACCACGCCCCCCACTACTCAAGCTACCTCCTCCTCCATACCCCGAATACCCTCAACTCCGCCCGCTCCGGCGGCTCCGTGCTCCTCCGCTCGTCTCTCCCTCTCCAGCACCGGTGGTGCCCCGCTATGAACACCCATCTCCCCCAAGTCGCTCGATGCACCCGGGTCCAAAACGAGTTGATGGGCTACGCTCAACAATGATCCATGCCCGCGGCTGCGCAACGAGGATCCCAAGTCCTCCCTCCAACCGGTGCAGGTAAGCTCTCGTCATGCCAAACGGGAGCGGGCAGAGCGGATGCTGGGAATCCTGGGATAGAATGACGCGAAAGAGACGAGAGCGACGAGGGTCCGGAATGCGTAGCGGGAATACTCATCTGCTCTCGCGTGGTCGTGGGAGCAGGCGTCTGCTCCTGCGCGGTCGACAAAACAGTCGTCCGCTCCCGCACTGTCGTGGCAGGACCCGGCTCCTCACTCGCAGTCATGGGAGCAGGCGTCTCCTCCCGCAAGGTCGTGCAAGGACGCTTATCCTCCCGCGCGGCAGTGGGTGATCTCTCCTCCGTGCCCCCAAAAGATCCCCAAAACTCCTCGCCCCCCCATCATATCCATATCTTGCTGGTCTGCCGCCCTCCGGGCAGTGTGCGTCCTCTCGTCACGCACGTTGCCCCCCTCGTGCAACTCATCAATCTCACGCGGGATGGGAAGCATCGGGTCGTCCGCTGCTTCCGACTCCCTCTCGTCCGCAGAGTCATCGTCCTTGGGGTATGGGCGGAAGATAGTCGCACGAGCACCGAAAACAGACTCAACAGGGGGCGGCGCAGAAGACCCAATGGGATCGTGCGCAATGAGGGCAGCCTGCTCCTCAATCTCCTCCTCCGTCATCCCACTCCTCGTCCCCGAGCGCTCAGGCTCCACGTCCAATCCCGCCTGAGCGTCAAGCATGCCCTCGTCTCGCTGCCAAGGGAGGACGTATCCACAACCTGCACGTCTATACTCCATCAACCGCACATTTGCGGTGATCTCAACAAGATGAACGACCTTCTCGAAGGCCAACTGATTACGCTTCTTCGTATGGATGCCCTCGTGGACCGCCCAGTTCCTCTCCGCTGGAGAGGCGTAGGACCACATGTGCATCAAACAAAGAGCGCACTGCTGTAAATCGGGCGCCTCTCCCCCGTACTGAGACCACCACGACGCACACTCCAACGTCTCGCAGTCTCCGCTGCAACTACGAGCTCGAGCGCGGCCCTCTGCCCCGCCCCAAGACCCATACCTACCATGCTGCATATGAAAGTCCTCGAACTGCCGACATAACTCAAGGTAACGACCACCCGACTCATCGTGGCCCGTCTGAGACAACAGATACCTCTTGGCTTGTCGAACAAGCCAAGTGTGGTACCGGTCGAGCTGCGCGGAGAAGTACTGAATATTCCAGCGACGGGGGTTCAGTAAGAACGCGGCGAAGTATGCGGGCTCCAGCATGTGCTGTATATGGGCCTGCACATGCCTCATGATACGGTCAGAAAAGGACTGACCAAGAGGAATGCAAGCATCCCGCACAAGGCGTGCAAGATCCCGAGTCCACTCTACAACGAGGGACATGAACTGCCCGCCACGGTCCATCCGCCTCAGCAAGTCCATGACAGGATCCATGACGTGCTTGATGGCACGCATCCTCTCCCACCAAGGGGACCACCTGATCTGTCGGCGCACCCAACGCGCCATGTCGCAAACGTTGGGGGACCACGGGATCCTAGTCCAAGCCCGATCGTCCTCCGCTGTCATCATGCCCTGCAAACGATCCTGCAGAGCGAGCAACCTCTCCAACATGGAGTACACGGACGCAAAGCGCATCTCACATGAAAGCACGAGGCCCAACGTCGCGCTCCGCTTCCGAAAGAAGCTGAGAGCGGCCTGGTGGGTTTTGAAAAACACCACCAGAGGGGAGGGGCACGCGTGATCGTGTCCACGAAAGAGGTGCAGATCGTGCCAATGTCTGACAACAACTTGTTGCAGACATGGACGCAACATGGGAGCCAAGTGATCCTCCTCAACTCAGGGGGCATAGATGGCGAGGCCAAAGCCCTCGCAGCCCCCACGTATGCAGAGGCGGAGTCAGTGCTTATAGCATTGACCCGCTGTGGGCCACCGAATATGAAATCATGAAAGATGGCGACCCATCTCTGCAGGACGTGCACCGCATCGTCCGGCTCCCCCTCTCGGTTGATCGTCGTGTACATGACGACCCCTCGAGACCCAGCTGCGAGGAAGTTCACGATCGGTCGCCCATCTCGTGACTTCCTCCCGTCGGAGAGGAGGGTGGCGCCACTCACCCATAATGGCTGCCTAACCTCCTCCAACTCCTCCGCAACTGCTCGCGGTGGATCTCCACAGTTCGCATGTTTGCAATCTCGCTGTGGGATGGAAGCACGGGAAGAGGTGCTCCACCAGGTTGCCGAAGAGCAACCTGCTGGAGGTCCCGGTACGACGTGTTGCGGAAGGCATTGAAGGCAATCCCGCTGGAATACACCCAGCGAAAGAATGTCTTCCTCCACTCACCAATCCACTCACCACAATACGTGTCCGTCATTTTCTGTTGCCGCAGCCTCTTCCCTTCACTGGTGCCAGAAAGCAGTGCACCCCCCTCCTTCCTCTTCGAAGAACCCGGCGTGCTTGCTCTATCAGGAACAGCACTCTTCGAAGAACTCGGCGTACATGTCGTCTCAGGTGGGACGGCCTGCTTCCCGCACCTCCGCTCCCAGTCCACTGCCCTCTGATGAGCCATCGGATCGGACTTCGGCACGCCCCCCTCTCCCCTCGGTGTCCGCTCCCCCTCGGCCACGCCAACCTCAAGGTCAACGTGTGCCTCGTCCTCCTCCGTGGCACCCGCACCCTCCCCATATCTCGCAACACCTCCCTCCGCATAACGCTCGGTATCCTCTCCCTCGCCCACGCCCTGTGCAGGACGCTCCGCCTCGCCACCCATCGCACCCGACCGCGGGACATCGAGACCACGCTCGTGGGCGAACCGCCGCACCCTCTCTACGTGATCGGCCTCGAAGCGGTGTGTGCATTTCTGCGCAATCTGGTACAATGCATCATCGGACACCTTCTTTCAATAATTCTGCTGGGTGAAGTGTTTCGTTGTGTAGAATTGGGTTCCCTGAAACACCTTATTGCAGAAGGTGCACAGTAGCATATTAACCCCCCTGTTGTCGACCTTCTGGCCGACAACAATGTAACAGTACACAGCAGATTTGCGCATATAATCCTGCTGCAATTTTTCGGGCGCGGGTTCATGTTCGCGCATCTGTTTTCGCGGCATTGTGAACCCCCCTCAAAGTCGCGCCCGTCCGGTCGTAAGCGCCTCCCCTCCGACACCTCGTGCCTGGCGGCGCCACAGAGAAGGACATATTCTCGGCCCCGTCCCAACCAAGTAACACCCGCCTTGTTTCTCCCCGTTGAAACCCCGTTGAAAATTTCGAACCCCGTTGGAACCCCGTTGAAACCTCGTTGAAACCCTGTTGAAACCCCATTGGAACTCCGTTTGCTCTCGTTGAACCCCCGTCCTTAGGCACTGGTCAACGGGATCCGCCGGCGACGCTGATCAGTCGGGGATGTCGCCTGCACCAACACAAAATAAAACAAACAATCAATCAAACAATCAATCAATCAATCAAGAAAATGGCCCAAACCGTCAATCAATCAAACAATCAAACCAACAATCAATCCATCAATCAATCAATCAATCAATGAA